TTTTGGGAACACGGAAGATAGAAAAACGAAGAGGCAAATATAGGGTGTATCGGCAACTAATCTTCCAAATAGCAACTAATAAATTTGTCGATATTTTGCTATGGGTTGTTAATTATAGTGATACAACACATAGTTTAAGAAAAACCACATTGTCGGTCGATATGAACTTATATCTTGGTAGAAGTGGCCAAGTATTTAGCCTGATATTTAAGTTGATATGTAAAAAACAAATTGACATGGATTCTATCTTCCAAAATTGCACAAACGGAAAAAATAAAACATTTCATCTGCAATAACTCAACAAAGTAATGCATAATACGGTAAATACCCATATATATAATATCTATCTTTATGTTAGAATAAAGATCTAGTTATTGCTTATTTATGTATTTCCTAATCGAACAATAAGGTTGGAAACTATATACTTGTCGTTATTGGTATATTTCATAGTACTAGAAAGTATGATATACAATATACAAAAATAACTAAAATACTATACTACTTTGCCCGATCTGAATTAACTGACGCAACCTTAATACAATGTACTTCTATAGAAACTGCGCCAATTAATCCGGGTCTAGGACTAGCCACAATGAAGAGTAACATACACTAGTAACATACACATATCCCTACACTATGTTACTACCCACTATGGTAACATGCAAAGCTTCATTTATTAGGTTATAGACTCATATTGCATCGGGACATGTGATGTTACAGTAACTAGCTAAGTTACTCAAACTATCTCTCTCCTCATTATCATTGTCACATAAGCAAATTTGCTGAGTTAGACTCGATGTTACTGACGAAGTTACTCCCATTGTGGCTAGTCTAAGGCGTTGTGTAGAGTCTGCGTCAATTAATTCGACCTAGAACTACGCAAATGACTTATACACCAAGACAGGGTAGTATCATTCTACTATCAATTACTCTCTCCGTCTCATAATGAGACGTTTCCTGACACTAGTATAAAAAAAAACATCTTAACCGAGGGAGTAATCACTTACCCGATGGTGTCTTGGCGTGGTGTGATGGGGACGACCCCAGCCCGGCTGGTCAACCCCACCGTGGGCTTGATCCCCACCACCGAGTTCAGCGACGCCGGGCACAGTATTGAGCCGTCCGTCTCCGTCCCCAGCGTCACCGCCGCCATGCTCGCCGCCGCCGCAATCGTCGACCCCGTGCTCGACCCACACGGGCTCGCCGACAGCACGTACGGGTTCTACACCACAGAATGCAGACCACAATGCGAGGATTAGTTCGTTCGCCTCGCCACTAGAGCAAGCAAAATGAGAAGATTAACAGAGGTGATTGTACAATTACTTACCCGGGCCTGGCCGCCGCGCGCGCTCCAGCCGTCGGTGCCGGCGAGGCTGCGGAAGTTGGCCCACTCGTCCATGTTGGCCTTGCCGAGCACCACGGCGCCGGCCCGCCGCAGCCGACGCACCACGCCGGCGTCCCGCCTGGCCACAGAGCCGAGGAGCGCAAAGGAGCCGGCCGTGGTGTTAAGCGCGTCGCGGGTGGCGATGTTGTCCTTGAGCAGGACGGGCACGCCGTGCAGGGCCCCGCATTTGCCGGACGAGGAGGAGCGGCGCTCTGCGTCGGCGCGCGCGGCCTGCTGGACCGCGCCCGGGTTGACCTCGATGACGGCGCGGAGGAGCGGGTTGAGGCCGCGGATGCGGTCCAGGTAGAACCGGACGAGGTCCACGGAGGTGAGGCTGCCGTTGTTGAAGCCGAGCTGGATGCTGGCCACGGTCGCCTCCTCGATCTCGAAGCCATGGGCGCCGGCGGCGGCAAACAGCAGGAGCATGAGCGCGGCGGCCACTGCCAGGAGCGGCCGAGCCATCCTGGAGCTAACGCCGGCCTGTCCAAGTGTGAAGTCTAGTGCTCTGCTGACTGAACACAAGCTTACCGATGAGATCAACATATAGATTAATAACTTTCCCATGATAAAAAAAAACCCGACTGTTTTGCTAGGAAGGCACCCGCCATGGACTCCAATTGGCACATTATACAAGCAAGGAAGCGCACATGCTTCAAGTGAAAAAAAATGCTGCAAGGCACAGTACATGTCTTGCCAATTGCCAATGGGTAGTCCAAACGGAACGGGCCAAAATAAGTTTCGTTTGACCAACGGAATCGGCAAACGCCCTGATTCCTTTTTGGGCATACACAATGGTTGTTAAAATGCAAGTGGTCGAACCAGGCCACTAGCTAGAGTTCATGTTCTAGACTTGGCAATGGTACTCATTTTTTCTGATTTATTTCAGCCTTTTTGGCCATGTACATTCAGTGGTCTCCTGCTTATTTGGCAGATGCGTGTGTGCGAAATCGGGGCATCGGAGTAGCCGACAAAAGGATGGATCTTAGAGTGTCAATGGAGCGATGACGGTTTTGGTCATGGGACAGCCATCGGGCAAGGAGAGGGCCCGGAGGAGTTTGGCAGGGATGTGTGAGGTCGCCACGGATGGCGGGAGGGCCGGGGGTGTCGCCGACATGAAGGTTGGTGACAGTGGTTGCATGCCCGCCAAAAGAAAGAGGATGCCATGAGAGGAGAGAGAAGGTTTGAGAGGCAATTCTTTAAAGTTTTGAGAAGTAAACAATTTCGAGGGAAGGGCTAAAAGGGATTTAGCCATGGAATATACAAAATTGGGATACTTAAAAGTGATTTGACGAAATGTCTAGAGGTAATCTTGCGTTGAATACCTAAGGCCCTTCCAGATGCTTTATAATGTACACTAGATGATTCCCCGTGCGTTGCTGCGGAACATGTTGCCTAAAACTTAGTGTTTTACTCGGCAATTAGGAAATATATGAACAAATGTTTGTTATATATGACAAAATAATATATAGTCTACCACCTCCGCTTCTTTTGCA